AGTGTGTGTGGAACTCAAAGACAATATTACGAACATCACCCGCACACTCCTCTTTTACAAAGGCACACGTATGTGGCTACATACTTATATTCATGCACACACATTTATAAATGTAAAAATGTACACATAAACATAAAAAATGCACTTATATCAAGGCATACATAGGATCTTTTCTTCTTAGCCCCTTGGAAAAGGTGTAGAGAATTCTTGCTTGTCAGCTACTTATAAAGCCTTATAGTATTGTTTTCCAAATTATTTATGTGGTGTCTGAATGTCCCACGTGATATTAATTGATTCTCTTTCCTAAAATGGTGCCAAGGTCAATAAATTTGGGAAACTGTACATGGAATCCTCTCCTTGGAGACTACCAACACATACAAGCATGTTAAAGACTCTGAAACGTGTAAACTTATTCGATTATGAAATCCTTATTTGCGAAAATACCTATTCCCATCTCATCAGATACCAGGGTTCTGTAGGTAAATCTTGGAAAACACCTTAAGTAAACCCAAATCCACAAAATCCTACAGCAATAAGTGTCTGGTATTTAAAGGTCTTCATCTTCACAAAGATGAGGTGCCACTCAGTGCTTCCACAAATGTGGGCATTCCAAGGAGAGTCTAAAAGTATGAACTTCAGGTGTTGGGTTTGGAAGGTTTGAGCTGCTCTTCTACTCAGTGGTTAAGAAAAGGAAGCAGAATGTTGGGGTATAGTCATTCCCAGCTCTGTCTGTTTGTGCCTCTGGGAGTGAAACCATCTGCTTGGGTTCTCTTTTTCCCAAGCCCAGCTCAGCATGGGGTACCCATGTGTGTTGGTGGAAATTGATTTTTGACTCTTATAAGACCAAACTCCCTCTCACTTCACCTACCTCTTGAAGGTCTTGCTGCCCCTCTGTGCAGGTGAGAGGGTGAGACAGTTGTGGTGGAATTCACAGAGCTTCTGCTCAGGAGCCAAGAGGCCTGGGTTCAAGTTCTTGTGCTGGGTGACCTTGGGAGAGTTAACTGTGGAGTAGCGGGTGAGAACATGGGCTTTGGTGTCAGACACACTTGGCCCTTCCACTTCCTTGCTGTGTGTCATGGGCATGTCACTTCACTTGCCTGCACCTCAGTTTCCTTACCTGTCAGGTGGGGATAATAAGAACCCCCACCTCACCTTCTCCTTGTGGTGAGAAGGAAATAAGATAATGCATGTCAAGTACAATACCTGGAACATGGTAGGCACCTGGCAAATGTCAGCTGTTACTTTATCCAAACCTGACTCCTTCATCTGGGTTTGAGGAAAACCCCAACCTGTCATGATGCTTGACCATCAGATAGAATCTCAAACGTGAAAAAGAGTTTTGTAAACTCTTGGAGACAAAGAAAAATCCAGGCAATTTTTTCTTCATTACTTTCCTTGAGGCTGCCTCATCCCTTCTGGCCCGGCAGGGCAGGGTGTGGGGATCACACCAGCCTCCTTCCCTATTTTCAGGCAGGATTGTTTCTCCGTTACAGAACATTGGCAAGAAGATGTCCTGCCAGCAATTCATTGCCAACTTGGACCAGCTGAATGATGGTCAAGACTTTGCCAAAGACCTGCTGAAGGTATTACCTGCTGTGGGTTCTATGCCCTTAGCTGTGCCCAGGTGGGTGGAGTGGGAAGAGTTCTCTGCTCCAGTAAATCCTGACATTTCAGACTCTTAATACTGGGCTCAGGGCCCCCATGACTTTGGGTTAGAGACCATTTAGCTCAACATTTGGCTGTTCTGTGTTCCCTGAGTTAGACAGAGGGGTAGGCTTTGTGAGATTTGTTTTTAGTACCCCATTATTATTGCTGTCACCGTAATAATCAATACTGCCACCAGTTGTCACATCTGCCACCCACCACCACCATCTTTGCCACAACCATCATCATCATCACCACAGGGAAAAGCCCGCTCATTCTTCCAACATAGTCAGTAAATAAGGAAATCCAGTGTTTTTTTGAGGCTGAAGCCCAGGGTGAAACTCTGGCCTTTCCAGCCTGGTCAGTTCTCCACCTTGGAGGAAGAGGAGCAGGTTTTCGAGGGGAAGATGATGAGGTCATTTTTAGATAGTGGGTTTAAAGGACCTGTTGATACTGGGGAGTAGTTGAGTAGTGAGTCTGGAGGTAAAAAAAATAGAACAATGTCCCCATCACTCTTCTTACCGTAATTATCTTCATCATCAAGAAGAACCTGTTGATACTGGGGAGTAGTTGAGTAGTGAGTCTGGAGGTAAAAAAAAATAGAACAATGTCCCCATCACTCTTCTTACCGTAATTATCTTCATCATCAAGAAGCACTTGTTAAGAACATATTTGTGAGATCAAACAACCATGGTTCCACTACCCACCTATCCACTTTCTCCCCATCTCCTCATCCACCCATTATCCGTTTCTCCATCCACCCACTCATCCTCCCATGCATCCATCCGTCATCTGCTCAGCCACGCAATCATTCGCCTACCCATATACACACACATTCACCCAGCCTCACACATACACCCGCACACCCCCAAACACTTCCTCATACACACTCCACTCTACTCACCTATCCATCTACCCACCCTTTCCCCACGCATCCACCTACCCACTAACCCACCACCCTCTCATCCTCAAATCTATCCACCCAATCATTATCCATTCACCCATTCATCCACCCACCCATACCCTCACTCATAACTCACCCATACACCCCCATACATCCCCAAATCTCCTTTGCATACCCTCTATTCACCCACCCATTCCCCATTTATTTTCCCATCCACTCACCTAATTTACCACCCAGTCACCCACCCATTCCCCACATATCCATTTCGCTGTTCATCCATCCACTCCCCCACTCCCCCATTGTCCCATCCTCCCGTCCATCCATCCATCCACTCTGTTGAGCACTTACTGTGAGTTGAGTTCTGGATTTTTCACTGGATGTTCCGTGGTGAATGAATAGACAACTCCTGACCTTGTGAAACTTACAGTCTCCTAGGGGAGACAGATGTTAAATGATAACATAATTAAATCCATCTGTCCACCCACCCGCCTGTTCATTTACCTGTCCAACAAAGTGTGAATCAAGCACCTATGCTGCCCCATTGGCTGAAAAAAAGTGCTCCCTCATGGTACCCACATTGCTGGAGGTAGATGGGGAGTTCTTTGACTTTTCATCTGAACTCCTCTCTCTCTCTTCCCCCGTCTCCCAGACCCTTTACAACTCCATCAAGAATGAAAAGCTGGAATGGGCCATGTGAGTAGTGTCCATGGGCACAGATGTGGGGAGACTGCATCACCGGGAGGGAGAAGGGGAGTGACTGGGGGTGCAGTTTAGTCATTCCGACCACTCTCCATGGTGCTGATCTCTCCCATCCCAGGGCCCTGGCAACCTCTGTCCAGCTGACCAGCACCTGGTGTTGAGCTCCCCTTTGGGTTCATTTTCTGTATTGATAAAAAGCGTGCAATGTTTACACTTCTATGGAATAGATTGAACTATGACTTTAGTTCCATGATCTCCACAACTGGTTTCTGTACTGGTGATATCGCCACACTTCCCAATGACAGCTCTTTTCCTTTTGGGAGGTAGGCAGGCAGAAGGCATGAGCCCCCTGTAACCTTAAGAATGTGACCATGTTTAGGTGGTGACTGCTCTTGGCAGCGGGGAGGGGTGACTGACCCCTAACTTCTCCTGCAAAGGCAGTGAGACCCAGAGGTGCCTAGCCATCTGGAAAGAGGAGTAGTGACCTTGCTGGTTATGAAGGCTATGAGAGGCTCTGGGGGGATCCCCTCCCTGCTGTGCTCCCCAGGATGGCCTGAACCCTCAGGTTCACGTAGAGGTCCAAGGAAGGACAGGGTAGGAACCCCAACCCCATGGGGAGGAGCTAGCATTCTTCTACCAGGGTTCCCATGGGGGGGCCCAGACTTTAGAGCCTTCACTTACTGGCCTGCCCTCTGCCAGCATGTTGGTGGGGTTTATACAGCAGCTCCAGTGTGGCCATGGGGTAGTGCTCCCTGGGATGGGCTGTCAGGGTTGGAAGGAGAAGAAGGAAAACTGGGAAGGAGGCCTGGAGATAGTAAAGTGTCCAACTTTGTGATCAAGGTTGAGAATTGGAGATTGGAGGTCAAAAATCAAAGATCAGAGGTCAGAAGTGAAGACTGAGGGGAGGGATCAGGGATCTGGATCTGTGATCTGGAATTGGAACTCCTCATCTTTGCCCCCTGGTGCTGCTCTTCACCTCTGACCCTGGCTCCTAGAGGGGTGGTTGGTGGAGAGAGGCCAAGACAATGTGGGGCTGAGGCCTCCCTGGAGGTGGTGCTCAGGCCTAGTACTTTCCTAGTGATGAGGACGAGCTGAGGAAATCCCTGTCTGAGCTGGTGGATGACAAGTTTGGGACAGGCATGAAGAAGGTGACACGGATCCTGGATGGTGGCAACCCCTTCCTGGATGTCCCGCAGGCTCTCAGCGCCACCACCTACAAGCATGGCGTGCTGACCCGGAAGACTCATGCAGACATGGATGGCAAGAGGAGTGGGTGTCAGGCTGGGGGAAGGGGCACAGGGAGGGAGGCTAGTCACAGGGACCCGCCCCCATGGCCACTCCTTTGAAGATGCACACACAGGTGGAGATGGAGGGGGAGGCAGGGTAGGAGATATTGGAGTGGGTGATTGTGGCCATACTACCTGTGCCCTCCTCCCCAGCACCCCGTGGGAGGCGTGGCTGGAAAAAATTCTACGCGGTGCTCAAAGGGACCATCCTGTACCTGCAGAAGGTGAGAGACTGCCCCAGAGTCCCTACCCAGGAAGGGCTGGTTCAATCCCATATAGCCCCTGCCTCGTGGTGCCCAAGAGCCCTGGGCAGGACCTGGGGCTTAGGCAGGTGCTGGGTCCTACCCCCTCAGGGTCCTGACTTGGTTTCAGTCAGGGTTTTGGAGGTTTAGAGAGGGGTTGTTGCAACGCTCGGTGGCTCAGGGGATAGCCAGCACAAGGCCTGTTCGGGCCCCTGGGACAAACCCCAGAGGATGCCTGCAGTGATTCTTGCTGGGCTGGGTCCTAGCAACGAGAACCCCAAAATGGAGGGAGATATAGGGACAGAGAGAGAGAGGAGCGAGGGGTGGGAGGTGAGAGTGGAAAGTGTGGGTCAGTGATCTGGGGCCTGGGGATGACAGAGGCTTGCCCTCCCCTGCCCCCATCTAGGACGAGTACAGGCCTGATAAAGCCCTGGCAGAGGGCGACTTGAAGAACGCCATTCGCATCCATCACGCTCTGGCCACCAGGGCCTCTGACTACAGCAAGAAGTCCAATGTGCTCAAGCTGAAGACGGCGGACTGGAGGGTCTTCCTCTTCCAGGCACCGTAAGTAGGAGCTGGAGCCCCCTCGCTGCCACCCTGGGGTCAGAGCCTGTAGCATCAACCCCTCTCCTCGGCGTCTCAGGGCAGACACTTCAGCTTCCTGCATGCATCAGCCACAGAGCGAGTGCACTTCATGCAGACCAACAGCTGGGCCCCCAGAGCAGTGGTTCTCAAAGTGTGGTCCCCTCAGGCCACCTGGAACTGGTCAAAGATGCAGTCTCTCTGGCCCCACCTTAGGCCCACTGAATCAGAAACTTTGGGGATGGGCCCCAGCAAGTGTGTTGTAACAAGCCCTGCAGAGGGTGCTGATGCATGCTGAAGTCCCTGGTGGGTGGGGCAGATGGAATTTATGAATCATCCTTTGCTTTAGTTTTGGGGGATGTGGGGAAAAGACTTGCCCTTCAGTTGACCTGTAAGGCCTTCCTTCTATAATCCTGCACCGCATCCTTCTGTGACTTGAGATTGGGATTTCATGTGTCACATGAGCTTAAAGGGAGGGAGACTAGTAGATGAAGGCTTGGGAACAGAGCGTAAGTGCTGGGCAGGCAGTGGGCAGGACAGGAGGGTTGTGAGGGGATGGCAAGTTGTCCACTGTCTCTGATGATTCCTGGCCTGTGGGCTCTAGTGCCCATTAGCTCCAGTGCCATTAGCTCCAAACCCGGTCAGTTTTATTTTCACATGAAAATCCAGGTTTGCCTGGGAGCTGGGACAGAAGGAGCTCCCTATACAGCTTTGACCAGGCCCATCCAACCACTCACCCATCCTCCCTCATGCCTTTACCCAACTCCTCTGTGTCAGGCCTAATGCTAGGTACTGGGGGCTGGGTTGAGGGATAGGGAGTCCTATTGTGAGAAGCTGGCAGCCTCTCCTTTCCCCTCCTGTCCCCAGGAGCAAGGAAGAAATGCTGTCCTGGATCCTTAGGATCAACCTGGTAGCTGCCATCTTCTCAGCCCCAGCCTTCCCAGCTGCTGTCAGCTCCATGAAGAAGTTCTGTCGGCCCCTGCTGCCCTCCTGCACCACCCGCCTCTGCCAGGTATCAGCTCCCGAGGCTGCCACCCCCAGCCCAGGTTCCTTCTCAAGAGCCCCCACCCCAGTATCTTCTTAAGGGCCTCTGATCTTGGGCTGAGGGAGCAGGGCAGGTATTCTTCTCCATTCAACTGCAACCCAACCTCATTTACAGATGGGAAGACTGAGGCTGCACAGCACACACCACACAGGCCTGGCTGTGCTGAGGGTGGGGGGTACGGGGGGGGTGCATGGGTACGCTTCTCTGCCAATGGTGGTGCACCCCTGTGAGTGTGATTGTGGGTCTGTGGTGGTGTGTGTGTCTGAGCATGTATGCAAGAGAAGGTGTGTATCATATGGCACCAGGAATAACTGTGTGCCTGTGAGAGTTCACATGAGCTGGGGGTGTGAACATGTGTGTTCACACAACAATCAATCTGGGTGATTATACATGTGTGTCAGGGAGTGTCTATGTATACACACAAGGGTGAGGGTCTCTTGTCTCCTGAGCCTACTGGGGGCATTGAGGAGGGCTAATGACATGGGGCAAGGGGAGAGAGGGAGAGGTGGGGGAGCACCCCATCCAGCCTGGCTCTGTCCTCACATATTTGGTGACCCTGGCCAGGCCTCTATTTCCTTTTGGTGAAGCAATTCCTGGCGGGATGGGATTAGGCCCACTCCATAACATGAGGAGAGTAGGGCCTCACAGTCCAGGACTTGTCTTTGCAGGAGGAGCAGCTGCAGTCTCATGAGAATAAGTTGAGGCAGGTGACAGCAGAGCTGGCTGAGCACAGATGTCACCCAGTGGAGAGGGGTATCAAGTCCAAGGAGGCAGAGGAGTACCGGCTGAAGGAGCACTATCTCACATCTGAGGTGGGCCCTTGGGTGGGATGGGTTGTGAAGGACAGGGCTGGAGCCAGAGGAGGCCAGCTCCTGCCCTGTGCCTCCTGCCACCAACAGTCTTCCACAGCCAGGGGCTCCTACTATGGGAGTTCCCACTTTGGGGGCTCCCCTGAGGCGTGAGTAACCCGATTATGAACTGTGGCCTCCTGTGGTCCAGTCTTGCATGGTCCAGCTGCCAAATGGTAGCCGAACACTTGCAGCTCACCCGGGGCTCTCCCAGAGCTCTGGACAGGCTCCAGCGGAGACAACACACCTCTCCAGGCCTCTTCCTCACCGCCCCTTCCCCAGAGGCTGGCTTCTCTGGAAGGCTGGACAACCAACCCACAGAACTCCCAATCCTGTCCGTGGGACTTTCCCCCTGTTGTCTCATTTTGCTTTGTCACATGTTTATCAAGCAGCGCAACTTCGTCTTCCTTCTGAGTGCCCCCTTCCTTCCATCTTGTCTCTCTCTGCCTCACAACGCTCTGCAGATGGGGCTGACAAAGCACCACCTTTGTTGGATGAGGGTCGGGTTTGGGGAGGAAGTCAGGAACCACCTGTCCATTTTAGGCTGTCCTTTGGACTGCCTTGCAGATGGGCAGACAGACAGACAGAAAGGCTGAGACTGGGCCAGGAAAACCCCAGAGCAGAGGGTCAAGACGTCACCAATCCCAGTCTCTACATTTCCACATTGACTTTCTATTGAGGTGTAGGGGAGAGAAGAGAGTTCCCAGGATAAATCTTTCAAAAAACAGAAAGCTTTATAGCTTTTGGAAGTTTTCTAAGATCCACTTTCTGGAATGTAAAAAATAGTGACGGCAAAAGCTGCAGGGGACAGGTCTCTTGCTACGTCCCAGGTGTGGTTCTCTTCACTTCCCTGTATTGACTGATTAACTCCTCATATCAACCCTGTGAAATGGGTTCCATTATTATTTGCATTTTACAGGTGGGGAAACTGAGGCTCAGAGAGGTCAGAGCACTTGCCTGAGGTGACACGGTTAAGAAGGGCAGGGAGGCAGGATCCTAACCCAGGCGATTGACTGACGCTCCAGCACCCTGGTCTTTCTCACTCTTGCCTGGCTTGGTGTGGGGTTGGGGCAGGGGGTGAAGGGTCCTGCTCCTGTGGCAGAGCTGGGTGAGAACAGGGTCTCCTGACCCTTAGTCCCTGATTCTCCCAGGACATCAGTCTCCCCTGTCTGTGGTGAGGGCCTGAAGCTCAAAGTCAAGGCACTCAGATACCTCAAATCTCCCTCCTAAAAGTTTAAGCCAATTTATAACCCCTTTAATAGTCTGTGAATGGACTTCCTCCCCCATGCCCTCCCCAGGCACAGCCTAATATTTCCATTTTAACTAATCTAATAGGTTAACAATTGGTGTCTCATTACGATTTTAATTTGGATTAAAAATTTTTTTAGGGCCGGCCCGGTGGCGCACTGCGCTAGTGCGCCGCTTGAGAGTGCGGTGGCGCTCCCGCCGAGGGTTCGGATCCCACATACAGACCGGTTCCCGCTCACTGGCTGAGCGAGGTGCGGGCGCAGCACCGAGGGTTGCGATCCCGTTGCCGGTCCAGGTCCGGTACAGGCGCGACACTGAGGGTTGCGATCTGTTGCCGGACACGAAAAAAGGAAAAAAAAAAAAAATTTTTTTAAATCGTGGTAAAACTTATGACATAAACTTTACTGTCTTGACCAGTTTTAAGTGTACAGTTCAGTAGGGTTAGGTCTATCTACACTGTTGTGCAACCAACCTCCAGAACTTTTTCATCTTCCCAAACTAAAACACCATACCCATTGAATAGTAATTCTCTATTTCTCCTTTGCCCCTTGCAAACCCCATTTTATTTTCTGTCTCTAAGATTTTTACTACTCTGGATATCTCATATAACTGGAATCATATAGAATTTGTCTTTTTATGACTGGCTTATGTCACTTATCATAATGTCCTCACAGTGTATCCATGTTGCAGCATGTGCCTGAATTTCTTTCCTTTTTACGGCTGCATAGTATTCTATTTTGTGCATATGCCACCTCTTGTTTTTCCATTCATCCATCAATGGACACTTGGGTTGCTTCTGTGTTTTGGCTGCTGTGAATAATGCTGCAATGAACATGGATGTACAAATATCCCTTCAAGACCCTGCTTTCAGTTCTTCTGGATATATACCCAGAAGTGGGATTGCTGGATCATATGCTAATTCTACTTTTAACTTTTTGAGAAACCACCTGTTTTTCATAGTGGCTGCACCATTCTACATTCCCACTGGCAGTGCTCCAGGGCTCTAATTTCTCTGTATCCCCACCAACACTCATTTTCTGTGGTTTTTTTTTTTTTTGATAGTAGCCATCCTAATGGATATAAAGTAATATGTCATTGTGGTTTTTATTTGCATTTCCCTAATGATTGGTGATGTTGAACATCTTTTCTTTTCTTTTTTTTTTTTGGTGGCTGGCCGGTACAGGGATCTGAACCCCTGACCTTGGTGTTATCAGCACTGCAATCTACTGAGGGAGATAACTGGCCAGCCCTGAACATCTTTTCATGTGCTTGTTGGCCATTTGTATATCTTCTTTGGAGAAATATCTATGCAAGTCCTTTGTCCTCTTTTTAATTGAGTTGTTTGCTTTTTGGTGTTAAGTTGTAGGAGTTCTTTATATATTCTGGATATTAACCTCTTATAGATATATGATATGCAAATAATTTTTCCCATTCTGTAGGTTGTCTTTTCACTCTGTTGATTATACCCTTTGATGTACAGAAGTTTTAAATTTGGATGTAGTCCCATTTGTCTATTTTTACTTTAGGTACCTGTGCTTTTAGTGTCATATCCATAATCATTGCTAATCATTTGGATTTTTAAAATTGTAAGAGAAATTTATGTGCATGTCCCTTGCCTATATTTTCTATTGGATTGCTTATCTCCTATTTATTGATTTGTGAGAACTGTCTGCATATTAAGGAAATTAGTCTTTTGTCATATAAGGTACAAGTATTTTTTCCCATTTTGTTGTCATTTGACCATTTCTTTGGCTTTTCTTTGCCCTTTCTCCAGAAAAGTCGTTACGAAACCTATATCCACCTCCTGGCTGTGAAAATCAAAGTAGGCTCCGATGATCTGGAGCATATTGAGGCCCGGTTGGCCACCCTGGAAGGGGATGACCCCTCTCTCCGGAAGACACACTCGAGCCCTGCCCTTAGCCAGGGCAACGGACCTGTGACTGGCAGCAAAGCCACAAGGGATACCACTGAGCCTGACACTTAGCTGGCATGGATGGGCAGGCAAATGCCCCCAGAGGGCTCAGTGAGCACAATTCCAGCCAGGGGCCACTTGGACCAAGCTCCAGACAGGCAGCCAGAGGGGTGCAAAGAGCCCTGTGGGCCAAGAAGATGGAGATGCCATTCATGGCATTGATGTTCTTGCATCCTGGGGCATCTCCGGCCCTTGTTCCCCTCTCCACCAGGGAGCCTCCTGTTGTAGGCCAGTTGTGTGCATGTTATAGACACCACCGCCCTGCAGAAGCTGGAAAGGCCATTGTTTTCCCAGGTCCTTCTCTTCATCAAGCTCCTGCCTCACTTCCCTTGTCTGTGAGGGCAGGTCTTGACTCCAGGTCTCAGCTTGGACCTCCATCCTATCTCCTCCTCCTTCCTCGGAGTTGACCAGCAGCAGGTCTGCAGACCACCAGCACCATCCCCTCCTTCCTCCTCCCAGCAACCTCTGGAATCATGTCCAGTTCTCTTGCCTCACATCGCAATAATCCAGGATCTGGGCCTGCCCCTCTCAGTGCCAAGCTGACTCCACTCACATGTGCATCCACCTCTCCTTCCATCCATTGAGGCCACTACTGCCTCCTTTTATACAGACATAAATGTGTGTGTATATATATATATGTATATAAGAATTATATATATGGAACCCCTTTACATATTGTTTTGGAACTGATATCAGTTAGAAGATAAAATCAGATGAAGGAAAAGCCTATTTCGGAGCTCCACCTGTAAGTGGCCCCTGGTGGTCCTGACACTATGCGAGAGAAGATGGAGATAGTGCTGACCTCCCCTCACCCTGTTTGTTCCCTCTTCCGGCTGACCTGTGACTTGCACTGCTCTTATAGTTGATACTTTTGAAAAAAATAGAGCTGTGTGCACTGCCACATCTGTCCCATGTGCATCGTGGGGTGTGAGTTGGATGGGACCACAGTCCTGTTTATATTTTGGTCTTTATGTTGGTGCTACCAGGTCTCTGAGCTCCAGAGGTGGCCTCTTGTACAGATCTACTGATACAGGAATAAAAGGCACTCTGCCTTGCAAATAGCCACTTGTCAACAAGTCCAAAGAAGTGTGGTGGAGGAAGGTTACAGAGGCCATTAATTCTTGGTCTTGGGAAAAGGTGGAACGACAAGTTGCTGATTGTTTTTAGTTTGCTGTTTCATTTTTCTAGTGAATCAGAAAGGCTTAGCTAAGGACATGTCTGGGAAGAATAGAAGAATTTGCCATTTGAAGATCACATTTAACATCCTTTAAACCCTGCATTCCTCAGACTGACAAGTGCCATTGATGGTACCCTCAATGCAGCTATGATGAGCAAATCTTTTCTATTGTTGAAATAGATTATTGTAGTTTGGCCAGCAATCTGACCTCAGTGGTAACATATTTAACTAATAAGATAAGCCAACCTTGCAACTAAGTGTCTAACATTTACTAGCCCACTCACATTGGATGCAAGGGACATGTGTGTCCATGGACAGATGTAGTGATTTAAATCCAGATTATTTAATTTGGATCAGCTGAAGTGTGTTTTATAACCAAACCATCTGGTCCCTTCGTTTTGCTTAGGGGAAGTAACTGTTCATTTAAACGAAACTGGAAAGGCAATGTGGCAACATAAAAGAGCTCTCTGTACTTTCTCCACGCTGCCTCAAAGGTCTTTTGATTTTGGGGGTCAGCGTCCCACCCTTCACTGCATGAGGGCAGGTGAGTGAAAACAGGGGTGCAAGCTCCATAAGCTGCAGACAGATGTGCTTCCCCGAGCACTAATTGTGCCTCCCATCAGTAAAAAAAGTTTTAGTTGCTTCCTTAATTGTATAATTATTTATTTGTAAATTATACACATGTACTACTGTACTAAAATATTATGTACATTATAAAACATACACAAAAATAGAAATTTAAAAAAAGATGAGATAAAAATAAATTTAAATCAAAGTTCTAATATTTCTTCCTGCATTTAATGGACCTTCTTGTTCCGCCCGCAATTTCTGTCCCTAACATGCCCATTTTCTAGGACTATACAAATCCCAGGGCTGGTGAGATGTGGAAGGTGGTGTGCGCCACCTGGTGGTCCTGGGAAGTGGCCGCAGGCTCAGGGACTCCTGTGGGGGCTGACCCTTGATGAAAGTGTCTCTTGGGCTTTCATCCTCTCGTTCAATGAGGGTCAACTATGTGTCACACATGGTGCTGGATGTTGAGGATAATGTGGCAAACAAAAGTTTGACCAGCTCTCTGTCTGCATGGCAGACACAGTCTAGAAGAGGGACAGGCAGTTACTATTTCCATTCGGGACTCTGAGAGGTGTTGGGGAGAGAAGAAAGAACTGGGGGAGTAAGGAAGAAGACTGCCTCAGGAAGCCACCTGAATGTCCTGAGTGCTCTAAGGGACAGGGTGGTAGTAGGGAAGTTGTTTAACAGGATTGCACCTTTTCCTGAAAGGCCATACTACAGGTTCCCCAAGGCAGAAACTTGAGAGGCAGAGATGTGACCTCTCCAGCCAAACATGCTCCTAGGTCCCAACCATACCTGTGAAATGAACAGGTGGATGACATGATGAGGCAGAGCCAGGGAACTCCATTAGATTCTGGCCTTGGACTTTTAGCAGGTGTGGCAGTTACCTTAGAACCCAGAAAGAAGGTACCAATGGGGTCATGTAAAGGTCAGTAAGGTCACCAAGAGGTCACTCAGAATTGATTAAGGGTCACATAGAGATCCGTGGGTTCATTTAAATCATGGGAGTGGTTTTTGACTGCACATTTAGAAGGCAACAGCAACCGGAGTTGCTGAGCCCTCGGAAGGGTCAAATGAGAAGGGTCAAATGAAGTTGGGTCATGAAAAAGTCAGTGGGTCACCGAGAGGTCATATGGAGTTAATTTGGGATCCCATAGAGGTCAGAAGTCACAGACTAATTACTGGCGCTCAGAAAATTTTAAAGCCAACAGCAAACTCAGGCAGCAGAGGGGTTTGGATGAGGTCATCAGATGGTGGCTGGGAGAGGGAGTGATTTGCAGGTTTATGCAGCTTGAGTCCGTCATTTTCCTTTGCTTCTTTGTAACAAGTGCTTTTTCCCAGCCCCCCCCTCAATGATTACAATGACTTTGGTTCTTTACTTTTCTCCATCACCTCCCTCTCATCCTGTTTTTGCCACTCTCACAATCATCTTCAGTAAGTCTAGGATACGAGGCACAGGATATTGTCATCACCATCAAACTAGCCATTTAATAGGCATCTGGGTGTGCCAGGAGCAGTCTTAGTACTTTATATGTATAACCTCCACAGCAACCCTCTGAGGTAGGAATTTACATCACCATTTCACAGTGAGGAAACTGTGGCTTACAGAAGTCACACAGCTAGTGAGAGTAGAGCTGGAGTCTGAACTCAGGCCCTGTTGATGCCTAAGCCTGCTCAACCCTAAGCCTCTCTGTCCCTCTCATCTGTAGGTCGCTGGGGGGCATTCACACACACAGGCACACACAATGCTTGCACGTGTGCACACCAACCACCTCAGCTCTTTGGATAGAAGATTCCCTTGTGTCTGGCTAGAACCTAGTGGTTCCTGGTGCTGGTACTGGTTTAATAAGGTAGTTGATGAGGGGAAAGTCTTCTTAACCCTGAACCTCCATCTGCCTGCTCCCTACCTGTGATCACCTTCCTGTGAGCCTTCATTGGGGGCTGTGGGTTTGGACAGGTCCTGGCTCTGAGGGGGTATAAAGTTGGGAAAGAGCAACACCCTGTGGGCTCATGAGCTGCAGCAGCTGTGGTCCTCTTGGCAGCCGAGAGAACCCATTATGCCACCTTGCATGCCCAGACCTTGCCTGTGACGTGCCTGAAGCCTCAAGGGTCATCTTGCCTCAGTTGCCCCAGTGCCAACCTCGCAACCTTTCCCTCCCCACCCACCTAGGCCCGGAAACTGTTGCCTCAGTCCTGCCCATAGCTCCAGGACAGGAACTGGGCTAGAGTTCTGAGGCTGAGTTTGAAGCAGAGCAATTTGCGTCACTCCCTTGGCCAGGTTCCCTAGCAGCCAGGGACACCTTGTAAATGTTCTTGGACGAGGGAGAGGATTGGAGCCTGTCCTGGGAGCTAGGGCCAGAGAGATTGGAGAGAGGGTCACTTCCTTCCAGGCACTGCCCTGGCCCTCTCCAGCCTCCACACCAACATCCATCCAACTCTACCATAGGCCCTCATTTTCTGTCTTCCCTCCTCATCTTGGGGCTAGGCACACACAGCCAAACATGAGTTATTTCTGCTTTTATTTATAATATAAAAATGTTCAAGTGTCAACAGTCAGGTGTTTGGACATTTCAGGACAAGGTTCCCACTTGTTTGTTTGGGATTTTTTTTTTTTAAATCAAGTACCTTTTTAACAAATTAGCAGTGGACCCAGTTTTGTAGGGTGGGGAGGGCAGGACTGGAGAGGGAGTGGAAGTCATGGGTGGGTTGGGGCTGTGAGGCGGGCTGTGAAAAGGAAATGGTGTTACTTTATTGCTTAAAGGGGAATCAAATACACTGTCGAGTGGCTTGTCTCCGTCCCAGTGTGACCATGCATCCAATCTAAAGAATCTGAAATGTAAAGGACATGCAGGTGTAAAATAGAAAAGACGACCTGTAAACGAAGGTGCTGCAGAGGATGGAGGGGCATCCTGGAGGCCCTGGGGAGGAGCAGCAGCAAACACTGGGCCCTGGCATAGCTGTGCCTTCCCTGGGGCCGGAGCTGTGGGGGGGGGACTTCTTTCTCTATCCTCCCTCCCTTAACAGCTGTGAGAGCTGTGAGGAGTGGGGAGGCCTCCTCCCCGTTCTGGATGCTGTAGGTGGGCCTTTGTCTCCCCTGGAAGTTACCTGACCCCAACTCTACCTCAGAGCCTAGGATGCCCGCTCTCTCCTCCCAGGGGGGCCCAGGACTTCAGATCTTGCCAGGTGGCAAAACTACTACGTCTGTCCTCATTTTCCTTCTCAGGACCAACTCCTCACTGTCCCCTACCCTTGCCCCCACCAGAACCTCCTGCAGCCCCTTCCCTCCCTGCTTTCTCTCACTCCCACCAGCTCGGGACCCTACAGTGCTCCGCCCTCTTTCCTGCTACCCAGACTTCTCTCCAGGAGCCCCAGATTAGCGTACAGCAAAAGGCACCACAATATGTTTCTATTAAAGAGTCAAAAAATTGGCCCATCTCTCTTTTTTTTGTTGTTTCTTTTTTTTTTCCGAAGCTGTAAATCAGGATGTTACATATAAATAGTTTCCCTATAAAAACGTCTTTGCCGTTAGCTAGTATTATAAGACAATTTTTGCTAAAATGAAAATAAAACATTTTGTTATACTTTTTTTCCTTTTATAGAAAATAAAAATATTTTTATTTCTTTTTTTTCCCCTCCTTTCTCTCTCCAGTCGGTGGTCTCTGTTCTCCTTAAAGACAGTGGGGCGGGCGAGGCGGAGGGGCGGCGGGCGGCGGGGCCCCTAGAGGGGCGCCGAGTCCTGCTTGGCCCGCGGGGGCGGCCCGCGGCTGTGTCTGCTGCTGGCTCGCGTGCTGTGGCTGTCCAGGGAGTAGTAAGTCCTGCTGTCGGCCGCCA